CCTGCTTTTGTTTACAAGAAAAAACATAAAATTAGTTTGAGAGTAAAATGTAATGTTAAATACTAATTACCAATGGATGTAATGAGAAAACAAAGATGGAGCAGAGTCACATAAAATACCATGGTCATCAAAGTCTCCTGCAGTCATGGTGGCTAACAAACTGTTGTTGACAAACTCAGAATCCTCAAGCTTGGAAGGAGATGTTCTTGCTGAGTTACTATTTGATCCATCTTTCTCTCTGATGCTGAGCAGCTGCCCTATTAGCTCATCCTCAATTTACTTGGAGATATTATACCACTCTACATTACCATTTATTTATACCAGCAAAAAAAATTTAAAACCAAATACCATAATCAGGAAAAATACCCAAAAAGATTAAAAAAAAAAAAGAAATTCAACACTGTAATAGAATCATTTGAACACTAAAGCCCCCATTCAAGAATTTCATTCAAACACCATAATGAGTTCTCTTATCTTACTAATTCAAAATTTGAAAGATTTGTTTAAACAAAAATCAATATTTGGGAAACCCATCAAGATCAAGCTCTGCCCAATTGGAACTCTCTAAATTATCAATCAGTTAAAAAAAACAATAACAAAATGAACAAACAATAAGAACAATGATAAATAATCTGCCAATTACACAGTGATCTCCCTCGCACCATATTTCCAAAAAGTGTAAGTGTTGGTGCAGTGCCTGTGTAAATGCATATCTATATATATACATACAGCCTAATATATATAATGGGTTTTACTACGTGTCTCTGTGACGATATTTCGTATATTTCAAATACCTGGTTTCATATTTAAAGGAGGAACAACAAAAAATTTTTCATCGCATTATTCGGATTCAACACAACGAGTGAACATTTTCAGCTGTGTCTGCGGCTTTTGTTGTTAACATGTAATACTTATGTAATGGAATTCTGATAAATGGAAGAATGTGGAACTTTTACATATCAATGCATGTCTTATTTGATGGGTTTAATGTTATTATTTTGAGGGCGTTACAACATGGTATCAGAGCGTACCGAGTTCGAATACTTTGGGTACGTGGGAAGTGATTAGTATCACAATGGGTTTGTCTCGCTTGATAGAGACTTGGATGTAGTATCGCATGCTATGTGCTTAATTGATAACATGCTTATGTAACTATGTGAGTATGGGATTTAATTTCTAGGATATTGATTGGATCCTTGAGTTGCTGGGAGTCTTGTTGGAAAAGCACTTGATCAATGCTGTTTCTAACCGGAATCACAATGGGTTTGTCTCGCTTGATAGAGACTTAGATGTAGTATCATATGCTATGTGCTTACTTGATAACATGCTTATGTGACTATGTGGGTATGGGATTTAATTTCTAGGATGTTGATTGGATCCTTGGGTTTCTATGAGTCTTGTTGGAAAGACACTTGATCAATGCTGTTTCTAACCAGAACTCTAGTAACGCCTTGGGACTATCATTATCCGGAGATGAAATTCGTAAGTGCTTGTGTTTATGTGCTTACGTGGAGTGAATTACAATTGTCCATGCATTAGGACGTGAGTGTTTAGTTTCGGCACATTTTTGAATGTGCTAATGTTCTATGTTACATTTATTAGGATGTCAGGGCGAGGAAGAGGTGCTAGGCGTGGTAGACCTGCGAGGCAGGAAGTACCGTTGCCGGAGGAGGTTCCGGCAGTGCAGGAGGGAGTTGGCCAGGCCAATGTGGCCGAGCCAGTGGGTCAGCAGGCCATGGGTGCCTTGGCCAGAGAGATAGCAGGAGCTTTGGGTATTCTTAGAGCTGGGAATCAGGCAGCTGAGGCAGGGCCTTCTTTCTTGAAGAGGGAGTTTTTCCGGTCAAATCCGGATGAGTTTATCGGGGATCCGAAGGAGCCACTGAAGGCTGATGAGTGGCTAGAGCAAGTGAGTAAGACGTTCGAGATGCTTGGCATCGAGGACGGAGCACTGAAAGTGACCTTGGCATCCTTCCAACTGAAGGGAGATGCGGGTCAGTGGTGGAAGTATGAGAAAGCTCGTGTTGGTGGTACCTGGGAGGCGTTTGTGAATGCTTTTCAGGAGAGGTTTTTGTCTGCAGCAGCTAGGGAGAAGTTGAGGGAGCAGTTTAGCCGGCTTAAACAGCAGGGCTTGCCCTGCAGCAGCTAGGGAGAAGCTGAGGGATCAGTTCAGCCGGCTTAAGCAGCAGGGCTTGTTAGTGGCCGAGTTTGAGGCTACTTTTACCAGTTTGTCCAGGTTTGCAGCGGAACTGGTGGCGTCTGAGGAACGCCGTTGCTATGAGTTTGAGCGGAAGTTGAGGCGGGGCCTCAAGTTGAGAGTTGGTGGGTCTTATATCCGAGAGTATAGACACCTGGTAGATGCTGCTGCTCATATGGAAATTATGATGCAGGAAGAGGAGGAAGAACAGAGGGGCTCCAAGAGGAGCCAGGATGGTCAGGGTGATGGCAGGAGGCAGAGGGGTTACAACCCTCAGCAGGCTCAGGGAACAGTTTCTAGATCGACCTTTCCAGTGCCAAGTGCAGGCTCGGGGAGAGGCAATCAGGGGGAGTTTGCTTGTTACAAGTGTGGCCAGCTGGGTCACAAGGTTTCTGTTTGCCCGCAGAAGGGTGGGGGTCCGAGAGCTGCTTCTTCTTCAGCTAGACCGCAGAGTCAGAGTTTGGGCAGGGGGCAGCCCTTGTCTTGTTATCTGTGTGGACAGCCTGGGCACCTGAAGAGGTTTTGCCCGCACTTGAGTGCCACTTCGGGAGCGTCTGGTTCTAGGCAGACGCAGGGTTTTCAGCCAGCTCAGTCTGTGCAGGCCTCGAGGGCCAATCTGGGAGCTCTCTCTCTCTCTCTCTTCTCACAAACGCACCAACCGGATTAAGATTGGCCTTAACAGCAGAATACTGTTCCAGCCATGCACCCTGTAAAACCAGGTCTTCAGACTTGATACATCAGCTACGCAGATGCAAAGCTTCATCTAACTGAACAAACCTGCCGAAGCTGCAGTTCACATCCAGACTAGGACCCACATGTAAGCACACCAACCCACTAAAAAAAAAGTGGTCGGTTACCCATAACAAACACAGCAACCATGGACTGTAACATCCATGGCCGAAACTAAGGTTTCACAGTTCGAACCTGTGCATAATCATAAACAAACCACCGGAGATAGATACTCCGTCAGAAACATTACTCACTCACACTCAAATTAATGTGTAGAGGAGCTAAAACAAACTGGCCGGACTGCACCAGATATCACCACCATGAAATACCACCGGGAGGCTCTACTTTCTTCCATTGCTAGGGCTTCATTTGTGAAGGAAGTCTTCAAGGGTAACAACTTTGCCCCTTTTTACCCCTTTCTTGCATAGCCTTTTAGCTTACCTTGCAACTGTATTTGAGCTTTGTGTATAACATAAAAAAAGTTCTGTTTTTAGGCCCTCTAAATAGTTGTTTAAGGTTGTTTCAAGCTTAGGGGTTGTTTGAGCCCTTTTAAGCCTTGTAAGGCTCCATTTTGTGCCATTTTG